TTACTTGGGGTTAGGTTAGATATCTGAAGAAAAGATGTTGATCTAAGATAAGAAAACTACGCAGTGAGGAGCTTCATAAATTGCACTCTTTTGGGATGGTTAAACAAGAGAATGAGATGACAGCATCCACACATTGGAGACATGAAATGCATGACAAATTTTGCTCTGAAAACTTAAAGGAAAGAGATCAGTTGGAAGACCTAGGCTTTGATGGTAGGATAGTATTAATTTTTTTTTTTTTTTTGATGTATGTGGACTGGATTCAACTGACTCTGGATGGGGTCCAGTGGCCGCCACTCAGAAACACGGTACTGAACCTTCGACTTCTGTAAAAGGCAGGAACGTTAGACTAGTTGAGTTACTATAGAAGGTCTGCTCTCCACGGACTTCGTTATATAGACCTAGTTTTTGTATGTGTGTTATTGTGTAATTATGCTGAATATATTAACTTTCAGGTTATAGAATGAGACGCATGGGTTGAAATACTGTATCACGGAATCAGAAGAATATCGCGTGGTGTGTTTTACAGTGGCATTTACTCAAATGATCTACGGAACACAAGATAGTTTCATTTGCAATGTTTTTTTTAGATTATTTAATACCAACTTAGCAGTTGTAAACAAGAAAGTGTTTTGTTTAATCTATAACACACTCATTTTCATATGGGTTTTATTCTGTTGAAGAGGTGTGTTTGTTCATTTTCAGGAAGAGCTCCAGTAGAAGCTAGTCTTATTTTTTAATGGTAATTTGGAGTGTCCACAATTTTTACCCATGTTCAATGTTGTCAGCATAAGCCCAGCTCTCGTTGTATTTACTGAAAAAGAGCGCGTAGTTAGCGTTAGCCTGCAACGAAGCTCTAAATGTGACGAGAACGCCTTCATTCCTTCCACGCACCTTATAATGTCTTCCTTACTGGTATTGAAAAGACATAATGATATGCGTTATGTTCAGTAGTTCAAGCTTTACATTAATAATAATGCACAGTGGATACAGCTTCTTTCAGATTTCGTTCAGCTAAATTTATTTAGCATATTCATTTGTTTTTCAAGGCTAACTAATTTGTTGAACGTCCTCTAGGTAAATCTGATGGCTGTCATGACCAAGATATTCCATTTGTCCCGAAGAGAGAGACTTCCACGCACGTTTTAAACAAAATTTAATAGGAATAATAATAATAATAATAACAGCAGCAGCAACAACGATCATAGCTTATGGATTAAGACTCGAGATGATAAACACTCAAGTGATAAGGATAATATATGTTGCCGTTCTTCGTTAATGTAAGGACTTTAAGCAACACGCCTTGAAGACGTAGGCCTATAGAACAGTGGAGATGAAATTCCAGCGGAGTCTGGTCAGTGTCAAGCCACCGACCACTTTACCCCCCCCCCCCCCCGGGGGGGGGG